TTTTTTTTTTTTTTTTTATTGTAGAGATGAGGTTTTGCTGTCCAGGCAGGTCTCAAACCCACAGGCTCAGGCAATCCTCTCATCTCAGCCTCCCAAAGGCGCGGGATTACAGACTGAGCCACCGAGCCCGGCAAAGCTTATATTTTCTAAAAATGTTCATTTTTATTTTGTTGAATTTTTGAGTTGGAGTCTCACTCTGTTGCCCAGACTGGTGTACAGTGGCAGGATCACTGCTCATTGCATCCATGACTTTCTGGGCTTCGAGCTACCACCCAGCTAATTTATTTGTTTGAAAAAAGTGATTCGGCCATTGCCTTAGTAGACTCTGGTGTGGCCATGTGCTCTTTGAGCTGTGGCTACCACCATGCTTCCTAAGCTCTGGCCCCCTCTCCTACCTTGGAGAGGTAACTCCTCTCTCTCCCTCTCCCTTTCCCTTTCCCTCTCCCTCCTCCTTCCGCCTCCCCTTCCCCTCTCCCTCTCCCTCTCTCTCTCACAGACAGACATATACACACACCCTTACTTTCCAAATAAACTGTGTTTTCTTATCTAAAAAATAAATGAAAAAACTTTTAACAGAGTAAAAATTCCTATTCTGTCACTTACTATAGCCCTGATAAAATACTGGAGCCTCCATTTTCTTATCTGTATGCTAAGGAGAGCAACATCTGTTCTGCCTGTGTCACAGAGTTGAGTCAAAGATTAAATGGAACAGTAAATGTGAAGCATATTTGCACACTGCAGACATTATATAAGTGTTGAGATGTTAAAACAAATAATTCAGTGTATAAACTGTAGACTGTATCCCACATTCTACTACTGATGGATCATGTTGTCCTGGGTTGGTTGCTTTCTACCCTTGTTGTATATTTATGATACTGTTAACCTTCTAGGTTGTAGAGTTTAAAAAGTGAACATTTCTTGGCCTGGCACGGTTGCTCACACCTGTAATCTCAGCTCTTTGGGAAACTGAAGCAGGAGGTTCGCTTGAGGTCAGGAGTTCAAGACCATCCTGGTCAATATAGCGAGACCCTGTCTCTACAAAAAATAAAATAAAAAGTAAAAGTAACCACTTCTTGAATACTTTTTCTTTACCAGGTAATATCCTGGATTCTTTCTCTTAAAAATGTCTTATTTAATTCTTATAAATGGCTGATCATGGTGGTACACATGTATAATCCCAGCACTGTGAGAGACCAAGGTGAGAGGAGTCCAAGACCAGCCTGTGGCAACATAGTGAGAGCCCATCTACAAAAAATAAAATAAAAGTTAACATTTCTTAAATACTTATTTTGTGCCAGGTAATATGCTAGGTTTTTTCCCCCTTAAAGTATCTCATTTAATTCTGATAACCAGCCAGGTACAGTGGCTCATGCCTCTAATCCCAACACTTTGGGAGGCCAAGGCAAGAGGATCACTTGAAGCCAGGAGTTTGAGCCCAGTCTGGGTACTGTTCTATAGAAAATATTGAAAAAATTAGCCAGACGTGGTGGCATACACCTGTAATCCCAGTTGCTCAGGAGGCTGAGACGGAAGGTCAAGGCTGCTGTGAGCTATGATTATGCCACTCCACTCTAGCCTGGGCAACAGAGCAAGACCCTGTTTCTAAAATAATAATAATTCTCACAACCTTACAAAGGATAGTATTCCCATTGTACCTAGTTAAGTTTTAGAAATTCAATAAAAATAAGCAGTAGCCTCCCACCCAATGGCAATAATACCTGCGTAGCATCTACTATTAATAGTGTTGAGACTTTGTTGTTATTGTTGTTCCTACAGAAAATCTATAAACATAATAAAAAAATACTTTGAAGAATATGCCTTGGTTAATCAAGATATTCTTGAAAATAAAGAAAGCTGGGATAAGATTTTAGCCCTTGTTCCTGAAAATATCCTTTCCCAGACGATTACTGTGTGAGCTAACTGTGATATTATAAATATGTAGACATGTCTGCCTGCAAGTTCTCATCTACTTATACCTGTAAATTTAATCTTTTTTACATGAAATATCTCCTGTATTTCCAGATTTTAGTATGTCTGGTGTGGAACACAGTAAAAAGTGGAAGCATTTTGTAAATCAGTTTCCTCATTTTGGAATCAGTTCTAGAATTAATGCCTAAAGAATAGTGAATCATTTAGTCAAGATACATGCAGATCAGGAAAGCTTTACATTATACCATATGGTTATTTGGGCTTTCTGTTATATCACTACTATATTTTTACAGAATTTTTCAAGGATACAAGTGTTTAATTTGATATTTGTGTTTTAGAGGACATTAGTTACTTTCTAAATATTTTTATAAAATGTTCTTGTGCTAATACATACTGAAAACTAAGTTGTTCATTGATGTGCTCTGAATGAGTGTGTGCCTTAATGACTCATCACCAATTCATGATGAACTTCAACAAAGCTTCCAAAAGTCTCACAGTTCACTTCAGCGCTGGGAGCATTTGAAGAAAACAATCAGCAAACACCAGGTATATTCCACTGAAATCTATATTACAAATATAATAATACAATTATTAATTAAATTCTGATTGTTTTGCTTAGTCAGTTAAAGATAGACAAAGATCATTTTTTAACTTCGAAAATCCCTACCGGTCCTCATGCTGGCCTTGCATCTGCTTTTAGAATAACACCAAAAATGACAAATATGGACCTTGGCTGGAGTGGGAGATTATGCTCCAGTACTGCTTTCCACGGCTGGATGTGAATGTCAGCAAAGGCATCAATCATTTACTGAAGAGCCCTTTTAGTGTTCATCCTAAAACAGGTACTGTATAAAAGTAAGAAAGACTCAAAGAAAAATTATTTATTTTTGGTTTTAGCAAACATGTTATTAGGTATGAATACATAAAATGTCTATGATATTAAAGGTGGAAGAACTGCTGCCAGCTAATAACTAAATGAATTTACCTTTTTATATTGTCAGCTAACTAGCTGCCAGGTGAGTTTCCACCCTATGAATGTTTTTTCGTTTGAATTTCTGAGGTTTGGTGTTAGAATTGGAGAGGACCTTCAAAATCTCAGGACAGCAGCTCTCATACAAATGACAAAATGGTGTCCCGAGAAGTTAAAGTGACTTGTCCAAGGTCATAAAACTATTGTGTCAGAGTTCATAGGAGTAGAGTTCAGTTTTTTGAGTTAGAGTCTCACTCTCTTGCCCAGGGTGGAGTGCAGTGGCACGCTCACAACTTTATTTTATTGTGAAGACGAGATCTTGCCAAGTTTCCCAGCCTGGTCTCGAACCCGTGGGCTTAGGCAATTCACTCGCTTCAGCCTCCCAAAGTGCTAGGATTACAGACTAAGCTACTGAGGCCGGCCATGTCCCTTCATTCTAATATTCAAGGTTTGAGTAAATAATTATGTTCACTCATAAGTGTATATATACCTTTTTATTAAATCCTTTTCTCTTTCATATTAAGCAGTTGCAGTCTTTTATACTGTCTTCAAATATCATTTCCCTTATTAATTGTACTTTTTACTCATCTGACTTTTTTTTTTTTTGAGTCAGAGTCTCACTCTGTCGCCCAGACTGGAGTGCAGTGGCCACTCCCAGCCACTGCAGCCTCGACCTGCTGGGCTCTGGTGGTCCTTCCTCCTCAGCCTTCCAAGTAGCTGGAACTACAGGCGCGCGCATCCATGTCCAGCTAATGTTTGATTTATTGTAGAAATGAGGTCTCGCCAAGTTGCCCAGGCGGGTCTCGAACCCGCGGGCTCAGAC